TTTGAAAATTAATTTTAACTACATCCCGACGATTCCGATGCTTTGCAGCAGCCGTAATCACGGGCAGACTAAAGACGGAGGATGTCTCTGACGTCAAAGTAAAAAACTGCTACGCTAGCGCCATTTGTTCCGACGAAGTTGGTATTTGGCGAAACTGGCCGGGTCCTTGCAGAATTGCCTAACGTGACTTTTTTACTAGAATCCAGAGATTTTATTATGGGATCCCAGGTCTTTGATAGTTTGAGGCCGTTTGTTTTATTTAAATACTTATATAATAAACAAAGTAAACACCGCTGTCTACAACAACAGGGTTGATAGCCACGTGTTGACTAGGTTTGCGTTTAATTCCGGTAAAATAAAAAAAAATCTTTCGGCCCTGGTATAAGTCTGATCTTATCTATGATATCGAGTATATAAGTGTCGCCACACAGGATCAAACATACTGTTTTTATTACATCATTTTTGTCTTTAATATGTTGTGCTTTTCTTCATTGCTGAAAGAGCTGAAATTCAATTTCGTAATTTAGGTCTGTGTGCTGAAAGTTTATATCGTAGACAATGGAAAGTGGTAATAGATACTTTGTCATCGCTATTGAGTTTCAGCGAAGGCTTGTAATTGAAAAATGGTTAATAGAAAAAGGTTCCGATTTCTTTCTATGTACAGTGCTATCAATGATCTAATAATTATAGTTATGAATGGAATAAAAAAATGTTTAAGTATTGACTGTAGTTTACGCGAGTAGTACACATTAAAATAAAATACTTTTAACACGGTAATTTAACTATGTCGGGCTTTAGGTAAGTAAGTTCTAATCTTATATTTTTCCCGTTGTAATTCATTAAAATTGGATTTATTTTAAAAGATTTAATTAACAAAAAAAAAATTAAATGTCTTATTACACGTTTATTGCCAGACGTCGCGAAAGAGTTTGTTCCGATCGTTTATGAGCTATAGTTAATAATAAAATTAACAAATTTTAACCGAATTAAAACTCATTTTAATTGAATGGCGCTATTCGTTACGACGCAAAGATTCTGTGACTTTTCAGTTGGTTTAATTTTAGGTAATCTTGGATCTAGATATTCATATTTTGTATATTATAGTACATGTAAGCTGAAAGACCACTTAAACAGTTCATGTAAAATAGAATTGAGAAATTATAGGTAATCTGAAATAGCTCAACTCGTAGATCTACTTACGCTGTTTGTCGCACGTTCTAATAGTAACTGAGTTAAATATTTCGCGTTTTAAACCGTTAAAAGTGTTTTATTATATTTAAATTATTTATAAAGCAAGCAATAAATAAGTCGCAAATTTAACCTCATTATACTAGAAACGGAGGGTAGTTTTACACTTTCCAATTTGTTTTTTTCTCAGGTATGTACGATAGGCGTCTTGGCAAACACGATGAACGTAGCAGTGCTGACGCGGCGGGATATGGCAGCGGCGCCGATCAACCGTCTGCTGAAGTGGCTGGCTGTTGCTGATGTCTTCGTCATGCTGGAATACGTACCTTTCTCTATTTATAAATACCTGGTACTGTTCAACTATCTCTTTCTTTTATCATCAGTCATTAAACACATTCATCATCAATATAGCTGCGCCCGCGACTTTATTCGCGGAGACTATTTATTTTGGGCATTAAAATTTATATTTGCAGACAAGCTCAGCTTTATAGTTTCTTCTTTATCTTAAAAAATAGACAAATACTGTCTGGGATTTTTTCTTCATTCAAAGAAGAATAATTCTTTCATTTTTTGGTTTCCTGAACCGTTTTTGCAGCGCACGCCCTCCCAGCTTTTATCACATTTCCCAATGACACCCTCTTCACCTTTATAATATTATTATTTAAAAACTTATCCCAAGTCAAGCTATGGTAAAACTAATTTAAGGTGTAATATTTAATATTCTTCTTTTCAGCTCCTACCTGAAACACTGGATTTCTCCTACTCTTGGGCGATGTACCTACTCTTCCATATGCATTTTGCCCAGATTTTGCATACGGCTTCAATATGCCTTACACTATCATTAGCTATATGGAGATATATAGCAATAAAGTAAGTATAAATTTACGGGCTTGTTGGTCTAATGGTAGCAACGTATGGGTAATAATCAACTGGTCCTGGCTTCGATCCCCATCGGGGTCTAACACGTTTCTAAACAATTTATAATTTTCCTTATTTATGATAGAGGAGGACAGATTTGGGGATCACTTGAAAGAAGGTGAAATACTCCAGTCATATCAACAAGATGGCGCTGTCGAACTATTTTGGCTTTGGATATTCGGAAATAATATTGATTATATCGGATATTTTTCTGAAAGATGTTGGGCTGCGTATCGATATCGGAATATTGAATGGGTATCGAAATTTAGTCCGAGTCATTACCACGATCTACAAATAAAAACGTCGTGAAGTTTAATCGCGTTTCGATTTCAGTCTATAGATATACGACATGTCTATGTCGACAATAAGTTGACAGTGCATCTTGTTTAGATGTTATATGGCTGGGATATTTAGCCTACCATCTATCTATACTATCATAAAACAATTTAATTACTCAAAAGTTATTATATAAATTAATATATATTATATTAATTTAAATGTACTTTGAATTACGCTCAGCGCAAGTTATTGAAAGAAACCCTAATTCAATGTTTCCCCCGAGAGGGATTTTGCAATAACACCGCCTACTTAAAAGTTAAAACACAGTTTATAATGAAAATTATGAAAAGCCGATTAATATAATATTCGCATTCACAATTCAATTTGCCATTAAAAGCATTCGCCGATTAAAAAGTTGAGCATCTCTGGAACGGGGCGTGGGCGTACTGAAAGCGAAACTTTTCAAAGGGATATTTAGCACTTCTTTTTTCTAGATATTCAGATAGAAGCCACGTCCTTTGTACGGAGCGCCGGTGCAGTATTGCAATACTCAGTAGCTTCATTTTGCCGCCGATATTATGCATACCGACGTTTATGGTGAGTTGAAATCTGCATTTCATAGATTCCAGTCTAAGCGGGAAAGTTTTAATTAAGATAGCTCCAGTTGAAGCCCGTTTTCTGGAGGAGTCTAGTGCTATATTAAAAATAGTGTATTTCAATCGTTTAACAAACTGATATACTAAGCATATTATTGTTTTTCAGGTTGTTCGGCTGACGTAAGCGAGAAAACGTTCTCGAAGTTTCCCATAAGTCTTCGAGCAATCGAGGAGCTAATAGCATTTCCTAATGATGACGTCGGCGTGATGGTTAAACGCCAAAAACCTCTTCTCGCTCACATCGGCCGAACAGCTCAAAAAATAATGTTATGCTGAACGATGGCCGTGATGGCCTTACACAAGTTATTATTTATTACATATATTTTAAACTGATATACTGCAACAAACACCAGCTAGTTACATTAAAAAAGAACACTTCTTTTAACAAACAGCATAAATTTACACAAAATACAGAGTAAAATTTAAAAATACATTACAATGTTTACTCGCAAAGAATAGATTAAATTTTTAACAAATTGTATAGAACCAAACCAGTATAACGACAAGAATAAGAATTAAAAGCGTACGCACATATAGCACGACACAATAGTCATTAAAATATAGTATTATTACGCGTAAATCCGCCATAAACTATCTTTAAATAGCACAAACACAATTAAACATCGTAACATTAAAGTCTCGTTTGAAGTGAAATCTAACATAAACAAAAATACAGCGTAATCTTTTGCATTCCTGAACGCCGCTTGCGTAGATAAAAAATGCTTGCTAAAATAATCTGTTTATTGCGAATTAAATGTCTTTAGCGACAACGAAGGTCGAACTCTAAGTACTTACGTTTAAAAAAGCTTAATCATACAGAGAACATGGTGTTAAGTTCGTTCAAGGTAAACTCTGTTAATACGAAATCAATTCTGAAAGTCTTTCACAGTTATCGAGTACCAAGCGCGGATTCGGCTTTGGCGCCAGGGGCTCACATAACTATGGTGAAGTCAAGAACTTAAAATTCAATTTTGACAAAAATAGTTACAAGTAAAAAGAGGGCGGAAAGGGGGGGGGGAGACTGTCGAGTACTAAAGCGATTTATAGAAATAAAAATCTAAATTAATGACCGAAATTCAGTTGTTGGTGGGCCATTATGCTTTTTATAATTATTCTCATACAATAGTAATAATTTCATTGAAAGATCTGCTAACACTCCGGGTGTCCACTATACTCCGGATAACATTCGCTCCAGTGTATAAATACAATGCTAGTATTAGGTCAGGGGTGAGTACCCCGCGGCTCGCCATTTTTTTGACACAGAGGTGACAAAACAGAATGTAAAAACTACACTAATAAAGATACAAAACAAATATAATCACATAATAAATTTTTGTACAATATATTTAGATAAAACACTGAAGTGGTTTAAAACGCGATTTATATTATTTGAACTTATTCGAAAATTATTTTAACTACGGCCCGACGTTTGGGATGATTTGCAGCAGCCGTGGTTTCTCGTGAGACGTCTGGCTGTACTTAAAATAATTTCTGAATAAGTTTAACTAACATATATTTTATTTAAATGTGTACTACTCGCGAGAGTAAAAAATATAATAATTGTGAAATTATTAAATCAGATTCTAGAAATACTAAAAAGTTAATTAAATATGTTTAGTTTACACGAGTAATACACATTTAAATAAAACACTTAACGGTTTAAAACTATATTTTGTTAAACTTGTTAGAAAATTATTTTTATCTCGGTCGTTTTCATCTTACACACTGGTACCTGAGTGGAGTCCCCTCTACACGTCTTATTGGTTTATTTATGTTACTTAATACATATATATAGCTACCTTACCAAAAAACATTTATTGGTACAATTTATCTAGTTTTGGCAAAATACCTATTTTCCAATGTTTCTCGCTTAGACATAGAAGGATAATAAATCTATGTTGTTTATTTGTAGTCTTATCTGTTCTTATAACTGCAGTTAATAATGTGCGTATTTTATTCGCTTTCAAACATGTCTCTGGGAAAAATTTCCTTTGAACATTTTCAAACAAGCAAACTTGCGTTCAGCTGTGTACATATTGTTCGTGCTTTAGTGCGAATTCAGATATTTAATGCCCATATGGAATTCTAGGCAGTACAAAAGTAAGCGATTTATAGCCATTTAGTAAAGGAAAATCTTTTCTCTACGAGGGGCATAGGGGCAAAAGGAGAGGGATTATTTTCCAAGGCCATTTTCCTAGTCCAGTTTTCACATGACGTAATAACTACCCCTGCGAAATGTCCCTTTTGTATTTGGAGGGCTTGTCAGAAAATTTTAAGTATCACCCCTCACTCTCGTTGTTCTCGAATTTTCCAAGCTTCCCTCCTTTTTTTTCACTCTTATCGGTTGTAGCCTGATAATTTATAGCTGTCCTAGATAAGTGTTCTACCCAACACAAGAATAAGGTTTGAATTCGAACCAGTAGCTCCTGAGATTAGTGCGTTCATACAAACACTTCAGCTTTATAATATTAGTATAGATAAATCATAATATCGTATTAAAGCATAGCAAGTGGAATAAACAACAAAACAGATATTTGTATAAGCGTCCAATTTATACACAATATGGCGGCGTGACACATGAAAATCGAATAAATTAATCGACCTCCAAATGATTGCATATTGCTACGCCATTTGATTGTTTACCCGAAAAGCCACCGCACTTTGAATACAATATAAATTATCATGCAATACCATTTGTCAACAGGTATTTGACATTCACACCAAGAATGTCAGCGACACGCAGGGTTCTGGACTAGTGTACCACCTAGATTCAAATAACCAGGGTAGCTTGTACCAGATCAACTTCTGGGTGCACTCTGTGGTGATAAAGCTCCTACCCTGCTCAATACTGACGGTGATAAGCTTGTGGCTGATTCGAGCGTTATATAACGCGAACCAGCATCAGAAAAACTTGAGGAACTACAGCGCGTGCCCAGCCGCTGAGAAAATGGTAAAACGCCAGCATAAAGCCGATAAGAGAACAGATAGAACGACGAAGATGCTTCTCGCTGTGTTATTGCTGTTCTTGGTCACGGAGCTGCCGCAAGGAATTTTGGGTCTTATGAGTGGCTTACTAGGGGCGTGTTTTTTTAAACGTTGCTACGGACTGTTTGGAGAATTAATGGACTTCCTTGCACTGTTGAATGGAGCTATCAACTTCATCCTGTACTGCTCGATGTCCAGGCAATTTCGGCAGACGTTCCGACAGTTGCTGCTGCAGAAACACTTCGCGAGGTTCCTTCCTGCCACCGCGTCGCATTCCGATTCGCATAACCAGAATACGTAAGTATTTAACATCGATTTTTTACTTCTGCTCGAATCGTATATATGTTCATGATTTAATAAACTAATCTAAAATATTCATTTACTTTAACAACAAAGCTTAATTAAAATAATATTATACCACATAATGATGAATGTTTGTCTTACTTTATATGTTTAAAAATGAGTACTTTCAAATTCATGAACTACAATTATTTACACATTGTCGTTGTCTCAAAGAGCCTCAGTGGTGCCAACATAAGACATCCATCTTGGTTCGTTTAGAAGATTAAACACCCTTCCAAAATTAAATAATATAAAAAAGAAATACAGAGACAGATAAAACAATATACTATTCACAAGTGCTATAAGATGTATCTTGGTTTTTTAGCATGTCCATAAATATATGTTAGATAATTACGAATATTTAAATGCATGAAATAAAATTGTAATCTCATCGTCTTAATTTAAACAGAATTAAACGAAAAAAAGCTATCAAAGTGTTCTCCTCCTGCAGGTACACAGAAAAAATAAAAAGGTAACTACAGACTACAGAGCGAGAATAAATTGAGTAACTATGTGAGTAAATCGTTCGTGCCACGAACCAAGATAGACACGATTCTAATTTTAAACTGCACAGATAAAACAAAGTTTTTATTCCTATAATCTGTGTCTATGTTAGTTTATGGTTCATGCTTACTCGAAGCTTGTGTAGTAGATTTTGTATTATCTGTATTTTTGTCACGTAGAGGTTTTATAGAAGGTTATTAGATTATTTGATATAATTGTAACGGTCGAGTTCTGGTAATATTATCAATTAGCGTAATTTATCAAGTACATGTTATGCATGCATGACTATTTATCGTATGTGTTAAGCTACATTTTATACAGTGATATCGTAGACAAAAAGTATAGTAGAAGCTTGGTAGTAATATTTTTACCTATTTAGTGGTTAGTAATATAAAATTTCTCTCTAACTTCTCACGAAAATCATTGTAACAATTGGTGATGTGTAGTTAATTTAATGTGATCATATATTTTTATTATTAAAAATTACTCAAATGCCTGTTTGGAGATGTTTTTCTTTAGAGTCGAACCTTCGATATCTAGAACTAAAATTCAAATAAAACCTAATTAATAACAAACTATAAGATAATGATTAGTTATGAGTTTATGAAAACACTAGTGTATATACTATATATAATGGGAATGTAACGAAAACGCATTTTTTTAGGTATAAGGTTTTCTTTATTTTTATTATTGAAATTTGAAACTTACTTCATTAAAACATTATGTTCCCATATCCCCAGCGCGACTTCTCTTCTCATTTCTCCATTTGACCCATTTTATAGCTAACAATTTTATCATAATCTGACTATTTATTGTTTCGTCGGGATGTGAATCTTGATCCTATCGTGCTTAACTAGCTCCCTAGCTATGACGTCAGGTCACGCTATGGTGTTCGGTATTTTTATAATTTTACACGCGTAGTAAATTTTTATACAGCCAATATATGAACAAGATGCCTTTGTATTCAATTTGAAAATAATTTCGTGGGTTTCTTAAAAATAGTAATAAGGAACGGGTCTTGACAAATAGCAGTAGGTACTCAAACAGGTCGTGTTGTTTATAGCAGTCCCTTCTTTTGTTAGTTTACGAGAAAATTTTCTACGAGGAAATATGACATGAAGTTGTTATATACCATGCATCCCTTAATATTATTAGGGAAAATGTAAAGAGAAGCGCTCCTCACAAAGCCTTATGGGAGGCTGAGGGAAAATATTAATAATTTTCAGGCCTTCTCTACATTCTTTAGAAACTTAACAACAAAAAGCCTCAGGAGAGGGAGAAACGTCGAAACGAATTTTCCCCGTAAAAGTTTGAAATATGCGGAGGAAAATCGATTATTTAAATTTAATCAGTAATTGAACTCTTAATTCTCTGGTGTAACTCTGTTAACTTTGACGTCAGAGACATCCCCCATATTTAGTCTCCCCGTGACCACGGCTGCTGCAAAGCATCCGAAACGTCGGGCCGTAGTTAAAAATAATCTTCAAACAAGTTTAACTAAAATCGCGTTTTAAACCGTTAAAGTGTTTTATTTAAATACTCGCGTAAACTACTGAAAATGGTAAAAAAAATTCAAAAGAACATTCTTATATAAATTTGCTCTATATCGAAAAATTCAACTTACTAAGATGTGTGGACGTCAAAACTAAAACAAATTAAACGGCTGGATAGAAAAGAAAGAAAGGTAATTGGCACCGTAATGCGTTACGTAACGAAGCGACTTTTTTTAAAAAGTACTCACTACTTTTGACAAGCTTGTGGGTGTAACGGTAGCAATGTATGGCTTATAATCGACGTGTCGTGGGTTCGCTTTCCCCAGCGTCCAAAGATGTTCTTAACATTTTTTCCTCCGGAAATCTGGATTTTAAATGAGTGGTAGAAATATCGAAATTCCGTACGGGTCACGAACCGCCGTCCACAGATGAAGAAGCCGTCAAGATTAATAGTCTTACGATTTCAGTCTGTGGATTTCCGAATATCCGAGCCCAAAGGAGGTCGACAGCGTACTCTGTTTAGATATTATATGATATAAGTATTTCACTACCATGCTTGTCTGCCCTCCTGTGTCATTAAAAAAACATACTAAAATATCCCCTAATGAAAATTACGAGTAGATTATTCTACACAGTTGATTGTTAAGTAGTATTTAAACGACGTTCGAGATTCAAAACGTAATATTATGCCTAAAATAGGTCACTGAGCAACAATTTCCCCGTTTTCACAAAACATTAGGTAAACATGAGATGCTTGTCTACATCCACATTTGTTGTGTATATGACGTCATTAATAAGTCATAAATTGAAAATTAATATTTTTCACATTTATTGACATAAACTATATATTTAAAAATGAAAATAAATTGAAAAAATTTTCGATCCAACTTAACCATTAGCTTTCGTCTTTCTCTACCAATTGAGCTACCAGTCTACACTATTCAATTTTTCAACTTATTGATACATCACCTCTCCCAATGTAATTTCTACCTTAACTCGTACTACCGGTAGCTCAATTGGTAGACAACACACGAAAGTACATGCCGGTTCAAGTCCTGCCCGAGTCGAAAATTTTTTCAATTTATTTTCGATTTTTAAATTATATAGTGCCTTCATTCAATAACATGTGAAAAATATTAATGTTTTCAAACTTATAACTTTTAATTTCATCTTCAATGATTTCTTAAGCTGCAAAGCATAAGACATTGACCTTAATACCAAGTTTAGGTAGAAATTATTGCCGAGAGGTCATTATCAATAAGTTGAAAAAATTCGACGATGAGGTGTAGGACTCGGTACTCAATTGGTAGACAAAGGAAAGCTGACGATCCGTTCAAGTCCTGCCCAGTCGAAAATTTTTTCAATTTATTTTCGATTTTTAAATTATATAGTGCCTTCATTCAATAAATGTGAAAAATATTAATGTTTTCAAAGTTATAACTTTTAATTTATCTTCAATGATTTCTTAAGCTGCAAAGATAAGACATTGAGCCTTAATACGCAAGTGTTAAGGTAGAAATTACATTGCGCGAGAGGTGCATGTATCAATAAGTTGAAAAAATCGAGATGAGGTGTAGGACTCGTAGCTCATTGGTAGAGCAACAGACGGAAAGCTGACATGCGGTCAAGTCCTGCCCAGTCGAAAATTTTTTCAATTTATTTTCGATTTTTAAATTATATAGTGCTTCATTCAATAACATGTGAAAAATATTATGTTTTCAAAGTTATAACTTTGTAATTTCATCTTCAATGATTTTTAAGTGCAAAGCATAAGACATTGAGCCTTAATACGCAAGTGTTAAGGTAGAAATTACATTGCGCGAGAGGTGCATGTATCAATAAGTTGAAAAAATTCGACGATGAGGTGTAGGACTCGGTAGCTCAATTGGTAGAGCAACAGCACGGAAAGCTGACGATGCCGGTTCAAGTCCTGCCCGAGTCGAAAATTTTTTTCAATTTATTTTCGATTTTTAAGTCATAAATTGATAAAAAATCACCACTTCATTAAAACTGTAATATGATAACAAACCTCAAAATTAATATAGCTTGTTTATTTTAAAGGTGTAATATAACATCACAAGAAAATTCGATGCCAACGTATGCTTGTTATTGTTTCTATGCTTTGGCTATTCTAAAATCAACAGACTGAAGCTATGGACGATAGTTCGAGACCCGGGCGGAGTTTCGATATTCCTACCAATAATTAATATCCAGATTGCCAATCGAATTTCAACATGTTTCAGAAAAAATCTAAATTGATTAATTAGAAATATGTTGGACCCGACAGGGATCGCACCTACGCCCCATTGTTTATTAAGCCACGTTAACAAGTACTTGTATGTACGTCGTACACTATCTTTAGATATTTCCACTCTGTTTTTAATTCTAGAATATGAATACTCGTTTCCCCAGTTCATTAGGTAACTTGTTGCATAGAATTGCATTAAGTGAGGGAGATCCCTGGTTCGCATCCCGGCTAAACAATTATATGTTATAAAAGTATAGAAGTCTGATTGACTGTAATAATCAGCTATTCGGATACCAACATATACATGACAAAAGAAAATGGATTTCTCTTTTTAATAAATGCCTTCTGATTTTGTTTCAGCATGAAAACATCGATACCTTGAGGGCGCGCCATCCAAGGGAATGTTCCAAGCGTGTGTGAACATCACCTGTGATTTCAAATACTCAGACAGTGTGCACAGTGCATTTCTTCTCTTAAAAATTGTACCATATAGTTAAAGTCAATGTCAAAAATAATTTATTCGTGATGGTACGATGGTAACACTCAAAAACAAACGAATTAATGAAACAAATGAATAAACATTTTCTATTAATTCTCCAAAACAAAAGGAAATGGCAAAAAACTCGCTGCCACTCCCTTTATCGTTGAGATTATTGTAAAAAGTCAGAACGCATTTACAGTAGACGCCATATTTTTTGTAGTTAGTAAGTATATTGTATGTTGTATACATTTTAAGAACTTCATAATTGTGGGCGAAGTAATGTTTACTTAATTTTGTGACTTGCGCTTTTTCAATTGTTTTCATGAGCTTGAGCTTTATACACAGTCACAGATAATAAACCGACTGCTTCAATGAAACATTTAATACCTCCTTTACTTTATTTTTTGCAGTATTATTAGATTTTTTTTAACAATTTTTTATTGTTATAGATAAAAAATTTAGTAGTTTATAGACTCAAAAGTTCCTTCTTTAGTCAGAAATGACGAGATACCATACCTTATGTGCTTTAACGCTTTAACATACGTCCAGCACATATATATGTTTCGATCTATATAATTATTTCTATGTAAGACAATATTGGGTCATTACGCCTACTTTGCAAAAATATATTCACCATTACGACACTTTTTTGGCCCCGTTTCCTTAAGTATAGGGTAAAATGTGTTTGAATGAAACAGACAATGTGTGAAAGAGATACACATATAATTATGTATATGATATTTAGTGTATTTTTTTGGTTTAAAACGTTGTGGACAACGAAATAGAATATAAGTATGTATTCGTTAAAGTTAGGAAGGAGTAGTTGATTCTAGTCTTGATATTAAAAAGGTTCTCCAACCGTGGAAAAAGCTACTGCCCCTAGCTTCAAGCGATGAGTTTAGTTGATGAAAAGTAAAATACCAAGTCATATAAGATCTAAACAAAATGCGTTATCGACCTTTTCTCGTTTTGGATATACGGAAATCCATAGAACCGAATTGCGATCAAACTTGACGACTTTTTTATCCGTGGAAGTCCAACATGTATAAGAAAAATTATACATCGAATACTGCGTATAGTTTACGCGAGTAGTACACATTTAAAACACTTTAACGGTTTAAAACGCGATATATCATTTTCAAATAAGTTTAACTAATATAACGCGTTTTAAACCGTTCAAGTGTTATATTTAAATTGTAAATTGATTAGAAACACGGACCCGGTGGGGAACGAACCCACGTCCGGTTGATGGTTAACCGTACATGTCTACCATTGCACTAACAAGCCCAAAGTTATATTTTGTATACGACTCGTCGACTCGACTGTACAATGTCTCATAATTTAAGCAATGGCGCGCTTTGTTCTGTTCAACTTCCCTTTCTTGACGTTTTAATATGACAAAACGTTGAATTCCCTTATTATTTATGCATTTCATTTTTTCGGTAGCATTCATTTCACAACAGATAAGTTAAGAATTTTAAAATTTAATCTTTTTCACACTTTAGTTACCGCCTAGGACTCAGTAGGAGTTTGAGACTCGTATTTTTTTTTCAATTTATAATTTATTTTTCAAGTTTAAATTAATAAGAACAAACGACCCTTAAATTTTTACGTTTTTTGTTCTTAATAGACAAGTTCTTGAATACTTTTAATTTATTTAAACACTTATTTTACTTAAAATGTACATTACTTATTTATTTTTACTGATTCATTAGCTAACATGTTTGTTTTGTAAGGTACGATATATTTATCATGTTTGTATACAATAGTATACATCATGTCCATTAGTCGGGTCATTGTTCACAAAAATAAGAGGTTGTATAAAAGCCAAGTACTACAAACAATGGGTAACGAAAAATACATTACTAAGAGGATATACGTTTTGTGTATACGCCACAATGCTGCCAAATTGGCAGTAAACATTGTATCGTTCGTTTCAACTTATTAACGTCCCACTGCAGGGTCTTATTATAGAAGTTTAGAGGCTTTAATTTGACACGTTGATAAACATGTTATATCTAATTGGTGTAAGGCTTTCACGGCCATCGTTCAGCATATCATTGTCTTTCAAGCTGTTCGGCCGACGTGAGCGGGAAAAAGGTTCTCGCTATTTCGCCGCGGCGGACAACTCTTAATTCTTCGAGCAATCGAGGAGTCACCTCACCTCCTGATGATGCCGTCCACACGTGATGACGAAACGTCGAGAACCTCTTCTCTCTCACGTCGGCATATAATGCTAAACATGTGAAACATACTAAAGATACCAAATGTTAAACTCTGTAACTCCATTAAATAAAAAAATTTAACGGTTTAAAACGCGAAATTATTTACAAATTCTTTTAACTACGCGGTGACGTTTCGGATGCTTTGCTTAGTAAATAAGTTTAACTAGTATAGTAGTAATATTTCATGTTTTAAATCGATAAAGTGTTTTTTCTTTAATTGTGTATTACTCGCGCAAAACTACAAACAGGTTTAAATTGTCAGTACGATCAATTGATATTAAATGTTTTTTTATGATAGAGGAGGACAGACAAGCATGGGGGGGGGGGGTATTTGACTTAACATCAAGTGTACTTTTGGCTTTGGATATAGGGAATTTTTCCCTTTTTCCGGATGTCGGTTTAAGCTTAGCTCGCGTCTTCAAACTTGCGTGTAATCATAAAAAGACTCCCGTCAGCAACGACCATACATTTTTAATTTTAAATGTTTACAACGACCCGGATTTAGATCGAGTACTTGATACCAACGAATTTGTCTTTAATATCATAAGTAAGAGGCGCCAAATATATTCCTAGTCCTTGTACATAATTTGTGAATTAAGGTAATTTCTGTGTAGGCGAGATCGTCCTAATTGATGTAATTAATCGTGAAACCGTTTTAGTGAATAGGATTCAATTTATATTATAATTCAATTTTATTGTGATAGAAATTTAAGACGCAGATTCTTAATGATAAGCTTCAGTACTAACTGACTGGTTTAAAACGTGTAATATACTACACGAAATGTAGATAAAATATTTTGCGTTTGAAATATATATTGCTCTCGTTAACTACAGAAAAAATTGTGTGATAAATAAGTATAAATGATGCAATCAAATAAAACACTTTTGACGGTTTAAAACAAGCAACATATTAATGAAACATATTTTCAAATTTTGATAACCATGTCCTGACGTTTCGGATGTTTTGCAGCAGCCATGGTCACAGCCTGACTGATTGTAATAAATGTATTTCGCGTTTTAAACCGTTAAAAAAGCTTTATTTAAATGTGTACTACTCCCGTAAACTGATAGTACACAAATAATACTGTAGTATCTATATTGTACGTGTATTATTAACTGTTATATATGAGGTATAGTTTTTAAAAGATGTGAAGTAGGTACTAAGTACAATATAAGTCGACAAATATATTTAGAAGTATTCGTCGTCGTCATTCTTTCGAACATATTGTTTCGGTGTTGAATGTTTTCCCCCTTTTATCTGCATTTCCCACTATTTCCTCCTTAGCCTAAAGCCTTCCTTGACAAATGCTTTAACCAACATAAAAAGGTATACCAGACTTCTGGAATTGTCTTTAGATTAATAGTATTTATATTGTAAATATGTTTCTAGGTTATAAATGTATTGTGTATATTTTTTTACGTTATAAAACGATAAAAGATAAGTTGTACGCTATGCCAAATAGAAAATATAACATTTTTTACTTCTGTATCAACGAATACGTAATTAAATTTATAATACTAAATGTAATAAATGTATTTGAATCAATTGTTTTTGAAGTTTTATTTATTGTATCCTATTAATTGTTTTATGGTATTAATTTGATGATTGAATTTGTCGGGAGTTCGCTCCCCGACCGTACACCATCAATATTTTTCTCTAGGCTTTTTGGCGGTGGTTGCTGCTCTCGTTGGCACGTTACACGTCCAGGATACTTCTAATGCTTAAATTGAGCCAGATTCACCCAATCAAAACTTTTTTTTCGAATAATATTAAGCAATACAGTCTGAATAATAATGTATGATAAAAGTAAAAAATCAGTTATTCAAGTAGATATATTATAATTATCAACGTCAATAAAGATAAAAATGAAAGACTCAAACACAAAACAAAAGATACAAGTTTAAATAAAACACTTTAACGGTTTAAAACGCGATATATTAGTTAAACTTATTTGGAAATGATTTTTAACTTCGGCCGGACGTTTGGGATGCTTTGCAGCAGCCGTGGTCACGGGGAGATATAGAGATAGACAATATTTAAAAGATACAAGTTCATATGTAACGAACGAACCAGAATATACTACCTAATAAATTGATTGGGTATATTTTAAGGAGACTTCCTCATACTGAAAACGTGTCTGAATTTCTGAAACCCCAAGTCCATAAGGGCTCTGGAAATGCAGCGTTGAAGTCAAACTGAACTTTATTCATATAACTTTCGCAGGCGCTTCAGAATCTGTCTGATATCAGTTTACTGAAGAACAAATATAGGAGATTAAATTTAGACGCCGAAGCTTCCTATATTGTTGACTAGCTGTGCCCGCGACTTCGTCCGCGTGGATCAAGTCACTATACTTGGGGTCGAATTTTTAATTATTTGGGCCGTTTATTAATTTAAGTAAGGGCGCATTTAAGGCAGCCGATCTATGTTGTTAGTGCTACTTTACTTACGTTAAAACCGGACAGACAGACAGTCAGAGTTACTTTCGTATTTATAATATAAGTATTATTAGCTTAAGATAAATTATTTATATTTTGTGTGACAGATGAAGACGGACAAGTGGGGGTTTACTTAAAGCTGAATAATTTTTCTTAATATTTCAAGGTTCTCCACTGTTCTTACGCTTCTTTTCGTCAGTTGGAGCGTAGTGATAGCCTAAAACCTTCTTATTTAAC